CCTGCACTTTGAATAAACAAGAATGTTCTCTTGATCTGTCTAGGAGCACACAGACAGGACAGCCTGAGAGCATCCACAAATTTTTGGGCATCATGTGCCCGCCATTTGTTTTGGAAGGCATAGTCTTGCAGTAAGCCACCCATAAACGCTTTGTTGTCTAAGAAATTAAAAGGAGAGAGCTAAGAAAGGAGTCCAAAGAGCTGTATATATATATATATATATATATATATATATATATATATATATAATTATTTTTATACAGGATTTATATAGCGCCAACAGTTTGCTCAGCGCTTTACAATATAACGGGAGACAATACAGCAACAATACAGTTCAATACAAGAGGGTTAGGAGGGCCCTGCTCCTTGGAGCTTACAATCTAGGAGACAGAATATATATATATATATATATATATATATAAAACTATTACCACTATAAGCTCCACCTCATCAAACAGGCATCACCTTTTTCTGTAGAGCATACACTGAAAGAATTTTGCCCATTGTCCATTTGCTTATTCATATTCAACAACACCAGTAACCACTTGCCCTCCAGGGGATTTACCCCCCTTCCTGACCAGGCCATTTTTTGCGTTATGGTGCTGAGTTAATTTAACTGAAAATTTCACGGTCATGCAATGCTGCACCCAAATGAAATTTAAGTCCTTTGTTTCCCACGAAGAGAGCTTTCTTTCTTTGGTATTTGATCACCTGTGCATTTGTTATTTTTTGAAACAAAAAGACAATTTTGAGAAAAAAAATTATATTTTTGACTTTTTGCTAGTAAACATGTCCAGTAAAAAAATTTAAAAAAATTAAACTTTGTCATAAATTTAGTTCAAAATGTATTCTGCTACATGTCTTTGCTAAAAAAAAATCACAATACATGTAAATTAATTGGTTTATGTGAAAGTTATAGCGTTTACAAATGACGGTATATATACTGGGATTTTTTTTTTTATTTTTACTAGTAATGGTGGCAATCAGCGACTTATGGCGGGACTGCGGCGGTCATTCTGACACTGGGGGGGAACTGACTTGGTGTCACTGACACCCCCAGTGACACCAATACAGTGATCAGTGCTAATAAAAAGCACTGACACTGTACTAATGGGAATGGACAGGAAAGGGTTAACATGTGGGGCGATCAAAGGGTTAACTGTGTGCTGTTTGCTGTTTTACTGTGTCTGTGCTTCACTGTAAGCATACTGCTTTGCGTGGCTCTGCTATGCAAAACCATGCATACCAGTGTGCAGGAGCTGAGAGGCAGATAACTGTATTGTTTACTCACAGTTCTCTCCCTCCGTCTGTAATGCTCCTCGATCACCTGGTGCCGGCGAGTAATCACCGGCCAGGACCCAGTGATTGACAGCCGAGGCCGCGAATAGCCAGAAATGCAAAATCACGTATATATACATGATTTTGCGCACCCCTACCGCCATGTAGAATTATATCTGCTATAGGGTGGCAGGAAAGCGGTTAAGTACTGTTCATGATCTTATTTTTTTATTTGCACAAACAGTTCAATTTTCAGGACAAGCTTTCAAGGCCTGTCTCCTTCTGAGGTCCAGACCAGCCTTTCTCAACCTTTTCAATATTGAGCAACCCTTTTTATAACTTTGTGGTTACAGGGAACCCCTGCTAAAATGTACTATATCTACAACTCATGATACATTAATGTGATGGTCAGTGGGAAGAATGCTCCTTACACTTGTGGCCATAGGGAAGAATGACCCCCTTACAGATAGCTAAACAGATCAATGGTGTCAGTGGGAAGTTATCTGAGAGGCATAAATTGGTCATTGTTCAAGGAACCCCTAGCAATCTCTAGAGCAACCCTGGGGATCCATGGAACCCTGGTTGGGAAACATTGGTCTATACAGGATTGATACAGGTTTAGAAAAATGTTAAGGAGAATCTGTAATCTCCCCTTCTTCTTAACATATGCTAAAACCTTTGAGTATTAGTACTGCTTGGACCTTAGAAAAAAGGAGGTAATCTCCAAAAGCTTGTCCTAAAAAATTTAACTATTAATCCAAATAAAAGAAGTGTCAAGAAAATTACGCAACTGTGTTGTTACAATAGTGTACTAATGTACCTAAAATGTCATCATTTCATATTGCTTTTAGCTTGGTACATGAAAAGTTAAGGTAAAATTTCTTAATTGCAAAAAACCCATAGACACCCCCAACGCTCAGAGGACTTCTACACAACCCAAAATTATGCAAATAGTGAATGGGAATTCTTTAACTGGCATGCTCAGCTGGTGCACTCCACCTCACATAGGGATATCTAGCAAAAAGCTTTAGAAAAAAAACAAACAGGAGGGTGCAAACCCCTAGTGTATTACCAAAGCATTTATTGTTAAATAAACAGAAAAGCCAAATGCATACTCACGTAAGAGGAGAAAATTTAAGCATTGCATCACATCGATAACAAATCCAGCATTGGTGAAGTGTTACCCAATCCACTGCACCACAATATTGGCAAGCTAATGTGGTTTGGGGGATGCACCCCCCTCCTCAGAGCTAAACTCAACACTCCCCGAAAGCTTGTCCTCAAAATTGTATGTTAGTGCAAATAAAAAAAGTATCATGGACAGTACTCAATTGTTTCTGTCGCAAATGCACTAATACGGCTACAATCACCTCAAGCATGATGTTTATGACAAATTTTGACCCTACCATCTTAATGTCGCAGCAACCATACTGCCCATTCTCCTCTGACCTCTTACATCAACAAGGCATTTTCGTCAACACAACTGCCACTCACTTGATATTTACTCTTTCTCTGTAAACCCTAGAGATGGTTGTAAGTAAAAATCCCAGTAGATCAGCAGTTTTTTAAATACTCAGACCAGTACATATGGCACCAACAACCATGCCACTGTCAAAGTCATTTAAATTCTCATTTCTTCCCCATTCTGATGCTCAGTTTGAACTTCAAGTCGTTTTTTTACCACGTCTAGATGCCTAAATGAGTTGCTGCCATGTGAATGGCTGATTAGCAATTTGTGTTACCAAGCAATTGAACAGGTGAACCTAATAAAGTGGCTGGTGAGTGTGTGTGTGTGTGTGTGTGTGTGTGTATATATATATATATATATATATATATATATATATATATATACACACAGTGAAGGAAATAAGTATTTGATCCCCTGCTGATTTTGAATGTTTTCCCACTCACAAAGAAATGATCAGTCTAAAGATCAAAAGGTAGGTGTATTGTAACACTGAGAGACAGAATAGCAACAACAAATTCAAAAGATATGCATGTCTAACAAATGATGCACTGATTTGCATGTTCATGAGAGAAATAAGTATTTGATCTCCTTCACAAAACATGACTTAGTACTTGGTGGCAAATCCCTTGTTGGCAATCACAGAGGTCAGACGTTTCCTGTAGATGGCCACCAGGTTTGCACACATCTCAGGAGGAATTTTGGCCCACTCCTCTTGGCAGATCCACTCCAAGTCAATAAGGTTTGGTGGCTGACATCTGGCAACTCAAACTTTCAGCTCCCTCCACAGTGTTTCAATCAGAACACCCAATCCACAACCCATTTTCAATGCCCTGGCTGAGGGAAGAAGGTTCTCACCCAAGATTTGATGGTACATTGCCCCGTCCATCGTCCTTTTGATGCAGTGCAGTTGCCCTGTCCCCTTAGCAGAAAAACACCCCCAAAGCAGAATGTTTCCACCACCATGTTTGACAGTTGGGATGGTGTTCTTGGGTCATAGGCAGCATTCCTCCTCCTCCAAGCACGGTGAGTTGAGTTGATGCCAAAAAGCTCGATTTTGGTCTCATCTGACCACAACACTTTCAATCAGTCCTCCTCTGCATCATTCAGATGTTCAGTGGCAAACTTCAGACGGGCCTGGATATGTGCTTTCTTGAGCAGAGGGACCTTGTGGGCACTGCAGGATTTCAATCCTTGTTGGCGTAGTGTGTTACCAATTGTTTTCTTGGTGACTGTGGTCCCATCTGCCTGGAGATCATTGACAAGATCCTTATGTGTAGTTCTGGGATGATTCCTCACTGTTCTCATGACCATTGACTCGCCACAAGGTGAGATCTTGCATGGTGCACCAGACCTAGGAAGACTGACAGTTGTTTTGTGTTTCTTCCATTTGCGAATGATTGCACCTTCTCATCAAGCTGCTTGGCGATAGTTTGGTAGCCCAGTCCAGCTTTGTGTAGGTCTACAATCTTGTCCCTGATATCCTTGGACAGCTCTTTTGTCTTTGCCATGGTGGAGAGTTTGGAATCTGATTGTATGATTGCTCCTGTGGACAGGTGTCTTTTATACAGGTAACATAATGAGATTAGCAGCACTCCCTTTAAGAGACTGCTTCTAATCTCAGCTTGTTACCTGTATGAAAGACACCTGGTAGCCAGAAATCGTGCTGAATGATAGGGGATCAAATACAACTACCATTCGATTTTTAGACTGATCATTTCTTTGTGAGTGGGCAAACATTCAAAATCAGCAGGGGATCAGATACTTATTTCCTTCACTGTGTGTATGTATGTATGTATATATATATATATATATATATATATATATATATATATATATATATATATATATACACACACACTATATTGCCAAAAGTATTGGGATGCCTGCCTTTACTCGCACATGAACTTTAATGACATCCCAGTCAGATGAGAAGGCCTGGCTCGCAGTATCTGCTCTAATTCATCCAAAAGGTGTTCTATTTGGTCGGGGTCAGGAATTGGTTGGTTGTGCAGGCCAGACAAGTTCCACCACCCAAAAATCGCTCATCTTTATGGACCTTGCTTTCTGTAATAGTGCGCAGTCATGTTGGAACAGGAAGGGGCCATCTCCAAACTGTTTCCACAAGTTGGGAGCATGAAATTGTCCAAAATGTCTTGGTAAACTGACACACCTTAAGAGTTCCCTTCACTGGAACTAAGGGGCCAAGCCCAACCCATAAAAAAACAGACCCACACCATAATCTCCCCTCCACCAAACTTTACACTTAGCTCAATGCAGTCAGGCAAGTACTATTCTCCTGGCAATCACCAATCCCAGACACATCCATTGGATTGCCACACAGAGGCGTGATTGGTCACTCCAGAGAAAACATCTCAACTGTTCTAGAGTCCAGTAGCAGCGTGCTTTACACCACTGCATCTGACGCTTTGCATTGCAGTTGGTGATGGAAGGCTTGGACGCAGTTGCTCGGCCATGGAAACCCATTCCATGAAGCTCTCTACGCACTGTTGTTGTGCTAATCTGAGGGCCACACAAAGTTTGGAGGTCTTTAGCTGTTGACTCTGCAGACAGTTGGCAATCTCTGTGCACTGTGTGCTTTAGCATGTGCTGACCCCACTCTGTCATTTTATGTGGCCTACCACTTCGTGGCTGAGTTGCTGTTGTTCCCAGTTGCTTCCACTTTGTTATATTACCACTAACAGTTGACCATAGAGTATTTAGTAGCAAGGAAATTTCATGGATGGACCTAAGCAATAAGCACAGGTGGCAACGCCTGAATTCACTGAGCTCCTGAGAGTGACCCATTCTTTCACAAATGTTTGTAGAAGCAGTCTGCATACCTAGGTGCTTGATGTTATACACCTGTGGCCATTGAGGTGATTGAAACACCTGAATCTAATGATTTGGAGGGTGTCCCTATACTTTTGGCAATCTAGTGTATATATACACACATATATTTTAATAAGCAACAAACACTCTTTCATATAGCACAGCTACTTCTGGGATTGGATCCATGAACACCTGCATGGAATTTGCATGGTCTCTCTGCGCTTGTGTAAGTTTCCTCCTGGTACTCCTGTTTTCTCCCACACCCTAAACACTTGCTAGTGGGTTAATTGGCCCTAGTATGTGTATGTATACATGTGAAATAGGGACCTTAGATTGTAAGCTCCTTGAGAACAGGGGCTGATCTGAATGTACAGTATACAAAAAAACGCGCTGTATAATTGTGGGAACTATATAAATAAACAGTAATGTGTAAAAATCAGGAAAGTTGGAGAAGTCCTTAATTGTATACTTGTTCTAGATCAGTTATTCAAAGTAACAAAGAAAGTGCCAGCATGACTGCTAAAAACTAGTAATTTTAGAATGGGGTCTCTATGTTTTCTCTAGTATATTTACTATATTTAACAACAAACTTTTTCCTATAGGAAAGCCATTTCTGTGATAGCATCCCGGTCAGTCCACATGGATAAAGGCTCCAGAATCCAATAAAATCATCATTCAGCAACCAAAAAAGGTACATATTTTTATTTTGTTCTATTAAAGGCAATCTGCTCCAATAAAAATGTGCTTGAAAATGCAGCTGTAGAGGTAATTTTTTGCAGTGCTTAATTCTTTTTAAGCAATATGATTTTGCTTGATATGTGCAAAAGAGACAAGAGTATTTTTTTTCGACCGGAGAAAAAAAAAGCATATGGAAAGAGTCCCTTTTTGAAACAATCTAAGATTGTCTAGAACAAGTTCCATTGGAAAACTACTCCACTTTTTTACCTCTCTTACAATACTTACAAGGGATGGCTTCATGGAGGGATGAGTAAAGAAGTTATCTGAATGCCTTAAGGGATTGGGAAGGAATTGTTTACCTCCTAGAGCAAACTTGATTCAAGGGTTCTTTACTTTCCTCTGGATCATATGGAGATTTAGACATTGGAAAATGTAAGGTGTTATTAGTTGAAGTCAATGGACTTGTCTTGTTTCCAACAAATTTGCTTAGAAAATAAACTCCAATAAGTACTATTAGCTTCTATATTGATTAACTATCATAGACTTAATGCAATGTGCTTTTTTCCCCAAGGACTCACAGGACAACAAGACTTTAATGTGGGTTGTGGGTTTATATATTTTACCCAAATTTAAATATTTGCTTTTTTCTCCTGCACCCTTTTGTAAACACATCTACGTGGAATTAGAGGAAATTTTAATGATCCTTAGATCCCTTAAAGAAAAAATTAGGCACATCACTCACTTACATCGTAGCCACCTGGCTCCAGCATCCGTATCCTTCTCTATAATTGTCCTTCTCTGAGTATAGCTCCCAAATATGTACCAGAGCATCCATACCAACTGAATGAGCATTAGTGTTATCAGATAGGAGAGGAGATCTCTGTCTGTTATCCCAACAGCATGGATAGCCCATGCAAACATCAGCAACAGCCCCGCGAGGAAGATATTGAAGCCATACTGGCTGCTGAGGATCTCTGCGTTCTTCTGTGGATAGTTCCGAATCAAATTAAAGTGTAATTTCTTCCCCTCCACCTTCTGGGTTTCATCTGGAGAAGACAATATGTCTAATCCCTGCTCTTCGGCCATCCTTTTCTTTTCTGCAATGCAAGAAGGGAGACAGCTAGAAAAATCAGGGAAGACTATTAAGATTAAGTAGTGAAGTAAAAAGTTTCCATTAGATACTGTAAAAACAGAGCCTGACATTTATTTCCTCCTTCTGAAAAATACTAATTTCTTGGCTGCCCCGACTAACTAGCTTTTTGAGTATCTGACTAGGAACAAGTGTGCAAATCAGGAATGTTGGAGAAGTCCTTATTTGTATATTTGTTTCAGATTAGTCATTTAGAGCATTAAAGAATGTGGCAGTATAATAGCCAGGCAAACAGTATTTTCAGAAGGACAGCTCAGCACTTGGGAAGCAATTGTGTTTTCTCTTAAAACAGGTTTTTATTAAAGAGCCATTCCAGGAAAAAGTTTGGTTTTGATTATGGGTGGATGCTGGTGGCCATCAATCACTTATAGACTATTTAAGTCTTCTATTATTAAAATCTCTTGTTAAAATCCCTTGCCCTGCCCTAAATCTCACTCCTCCTGCGTCATTTTATATAAAAATAAATGAAAAGGTGGGACTTTCTCATAATTTCAACTGCAGATGGGCAACTTATGTACAGAGCAAAGCAAACAGGAGATCAGTTTTTAAAAGTGTTATAGTTGAGTTATTGAATGCTATTTTTTGATTGGTTGCTGTAAGCTGCAATACATTACGGGTTTGTACTTATTAGACTACAAAAGATAAATCAAGTATAATATAATTACTAGACTGCCAGGAAAGGTATCTTATAAGGGTCCATGGACACTGGCTTAAAAAAAAAATGCCAGTGCTCTTGGCAGAAAAAAACGCTAATTGAGCAGTTTTTTTTTTAAATAACATTTAGGAGTGCTTAGTATTTTTTTCTGTCACAAAACAGCTCTCAAAAATGCAAAACAGAAGGGTTTCTTTCTTTCTGCCTCTAAATGCTGAGCATAAAATATGCCTTTAAATTACTTAAAATGCATGAACACACAAGATAACATTAGTTAATTCTACAGGCAAAACTCTAAGCCAGACTGCATGAACCTTAAAACTCAATGGTTGCAACCAGATACACAATTCCTTAAAGACATTTAAAAAAAATGTAATGTAACAACATAATGCAAGATTTACAGTGCATGTCATCATGTTGAAAAATTACCTTCAGTGCCTGTGCACAGAATAGTGCTTAAGCTTTATCTATTTATTTTATTTATTACAGTTACTTATATAGTGCCATCAATTTACGCAACACTTTACATATATATTATACATATTCTAACGTGTATATATATATATATATATACAATATATATATATATTTTTTTTTCAAAGCTTTATGCCACAGTTTAAGACACTTAAATATAAGGCATCAAAACCCTGATATTCCCCTTACTGAATACTGATAATTGCTGTTATATAAAAAGGACATTTAAATTCAAGTTTTGCCTTTTCAAGTAATAATTATTTCTTTTCACAGATGCTAAGTGCGCACTTCACAAAATTTGTAAAAAAAAAAAAAAAAAATTATAACACAACAAAGAAGATTCCATAGAAAAGGATCATATTAAGAGTTTACAATTTAGTCAAGTAATATTGTGTTAATAGATTTTGAAGATTGACGATTGTACTACTATCCCCTTAAAACAGCCAGAAGAAAACAAAAGCTTAAAGTTCCATTTGGTGTTTTGAAAACGATCTGTCCTGGGATCCATCAAATCCTGCAAGAGTTGTAATTTCATCTATTATTTATCACTAATCTATTGTTTTGGGTTGGTTAGTTCACATACAAAGCTTTTATTCACCGCAAGAAATGCTACGCTATTAAAATCTTTGACATCAAGGTTGCAAAAATTGATGTATACCTTAAGCATTTTTTAAAGATGTTTAAAAGTGGAAGGCATTAAGAATACAAACAGGTTAAAAGCCGTGACTGCGTCTTACCACATCTATTAGTTCCTCAACAATGACTTCTCTCAGCGCAGAAGGAAGCTCAAGGACTGAGTCTAATTTTCTCAGATGGGATATTTTGTCCCAGGCTCAAGCTTTGATCCCTCTTATAGGGATGGTTTTGCTGTAGACGTCAGAGGGATCCAGCCTGCAGGCAGATAGAATTTCACCTGTAACACCTTAGTGCAGCATAGACAGCAGAGGTAGTCCTCTATCCCTCTCAGCTGGACACCACAGAAAGTCACATTGTGCAAACCTTCTCACTGTCACACGGGGCACAGATGTAGCATAAGGAGAGGTGCACAGAAAAACGTCCATCAAAGCAATGCTGTCACATGTAAGACAAAATCATAGTGTCATAGAGCCGAGAGTAGGACTCACATTTAGGGCTCATGCACAAGAGGGCAATAAAATACTGATATCTATGCAGGCAGAAAGATCCTGTATATAAACGCATGTAAGGCTACATTCACAGGGGCAATTGGATGCAGATAGATTGCTGCATTAAGAGACGAATGCAGCGATATTCCGTGCTATGGCCGCATGTAAGCTGGCTGACTAGCTGCGTCTAAAACTCTGCAGGAATACCAACCCTAGATGCACACTGAGCCCAAGGTTAGTAGGAGATTCCATTTGATTGTAACCATTCGAATGACCAGCTACATGGAAACAGCGGCCATGCTAGCCATTGATTTATACTAATTAGGGAATATTTACGAAAGGCAAATAGGCTGTTCATTTTGCAAGTCCAGTTGCACTTTGCAAGAGAATTTGCCCCAGAGCTTAGTTAATATGTTGAAGTTTCACATTGCAAAAAGTATAGAAACAAAAGACTTTTGCTTAAAGCGGAGTTCCACTCACCGGCCGAAAAATAAAAGTCGGCAGTTACAAGAACTGTAGCTGCTGACTTTTAAAAAACAGCCACTTACCTGTCCCTTGGTCCCGCGGTGTGTCCCCCACAGCCTGTTTCACCGGCCATCCTGGATTTCAGGAGGCCGGCATCTTCAGTGTGGGCACCCGGCTGTGATAGCTTGTGGCTTCACAGCTGGGTACCCACTGCGCATGCGCGTGTAGTGCTGCGCTTCATGAATGGTCCTGTAGTCTTCTGGGACCTGTCATGTGTCCCAGAAGACTACAGGGAGGGAGGACACCTTCCACTTGGCGATCGCAGAAGTGGGGGCGGGTACATGTCAAATTCGGGTAACCGCTCCCCCCCGCCCCAAAGGTGCAAATCCTTAATGGGAAACAGTCCTTAAAGTGGAACTTCCCCTTTTGGATGGAGCTCCGCTTTAAGTACAACAGATGAGCAAAAAGAAAATGAAAAATAAAAATAAAAAGAGCAGCTAGCACATAGTAGGCAGGACACATCATGTAGAATATTATAAGTGCAGCGCTAACACCATATGATTTTAGTGGAATTGGTAA